TTCTTCATCGTGTCTCTTGCTACGGCTGATATTCTCGTTGCACTGGGATCCATGCCTTTATGGGCTGCGTATATCATAGGGGGTCCACCTGTTATTCAGCATGTTTGGGTACAGCAGTTATGGCATTTTATTGATATCCTTTGTGGAGCTGCATCGATAATCAATCTTTGTTTCATTAGTCTTGAGAGATGTATTTGCATTTCAGCTCCCTTAAAACACCGAGCTATTGTTACAACAGGCAAGGCTATTGTCTCTATTGCCTGCATTTGGATCTTTGCCGCTATTGTCGCCGGGATAAAAATCATTTTTTGGGGTCATCCACCGCCAATGTATGAACTGACCGTCACGATCACGTGCTTTATTGTTCCTCTCATTGTCATGGTAATTTGTTATGTTAAAATGTATCAAGCTGCAAGACATCAGATAAAAAAGATGATTTTCACTGTCGAGGGAAAACCTAAACGATTTCTATTATCGAGGGAGCTGAAAGCAGCCAAAACAGTGGGCGTGGTCATTGGTGCATTCATAGTTTGTTGGTGTCCCTTCTTTGTGTTAAACTTGGTTTATGGGCTATGTATCGAATGTCGACCACTCCCTAATGAATCGATTCTTGTAGCAAAATGGATGCATTATGTAAACAGTGTCCTTAACCCCATCATATATGCCTGTATGAACAAAGACTTCAGGGGAGCGTTTAAAAAGATAGTAATGTACGTGTGCGCATGCGTCATGTGTAAGGACTACCAGGACGTTCTTATTGAACAGCGGTCATTTTACAGTGAGAGGAATTCATTCAGGAATAACTCATGTCGAAGTGGAACACGTATGGACGAGAGGGACAGCTCGTTACGGTCTCAAGCCGACTCGTTCGTGATGCACTCCAACTACAGCACAATGGAAAAGCCTTCACCTCGTCATGTTTAGCTTTAATGATCTCGAAGAATTACTTGTCGTGGTGATTATTCTCTCATCGATCAGTTACGCTTGACTCTGTCATTTCCTACATAGTAATTGGAGTCAATGACTCTACATTGGGAACCTGTATCTTGCTTACGTTGAAGAGGTTGTCCATGGCGTAGAATGCCTATTATTGTAACGAGAGATATGTCAGTCGTTTGCTTTTGCCTATTCTTTCTAAATGACTTAAAGAATACCCTTGCAATCCATCTTGAATATCTCAATTATGTGATCTTTAAGTGCAACAGGAACAATAATCGAGTGTTCAGGATCTTTTTTGGCATTGCAAAGCTGCTTGGCTTCATTGCTAGGCTTGACAAAGCTGTGACATCGACGGCGCTTATCTAATAAAAATTTAGAGACAGCGCATATATTATTAAAAAATGTGTTCCTATATTCACTCTTTGCAACTGACCTCACCTTTTTCCGGGCAATGAATATTAATTAATCCTTAATAATTTAGTTTATTTTATTAATTAACAGTCAGATGAATTCTACTCAAGCATGTTAAGGCCTGGGATTTCTTTGCTGGGGTCTAAAATCAAACCATTTTTGTCCTGTAGTCGTTTTCGCTTCAAACATTACAAAGATTGGCATGAGCATGTAACTCGACCTTAAGATTACTGAAACGTTCTCTAAGAACCTGCAATTTCTGAGTCACTTGCGTTGTGAGAACAATTGCTATATTCCACTTTTCAAATGCCTGTCATCTTGATTGTTTCTCCCAACATATCTCGGCAAAAAGAACTTTTACAAGTTAAGCAAAATAAAAGCTCATTATTTATAATGTGATGGCTATGTTGGATGCTTGGATGTCCATATGTTTTGAAAAGACAACTATAAGAAGCACGTCAATGGAAAAGCAAAGCAAAAAAATACAACGGTTAAGCGGTTGACCTTATTTAGGATCTCTCTTCCATAATTTGATGAACACGACGAAGAAATAAAGTATTTCAACAGTTTTCTCGCACTTAGAAACGATTGTATTAATTAAGAAAATATTACGACGAATTTCTAAGGAGAAACAACGTATATGAAACAGTCAGCAGTTGCTACTTTGTAATTTATTTATTTATTTTTTTTTTTTTTTGAAAAGTCTCTGAAGATAAATCCAGAGTTAATAAAGTACCGTACCCTGACCGTCACCCTGCCGTATGGCAGAGATGTGCTCATGAATCAGTATTTTATTTATCGTGACTACCAGGCGAGTCTCTGTGATCTTGCCGTGATACGTGCCGCCGCACTGTCATACGAAATCCGCTCTAAAAATACACTTTGAATTTTAAATTTAATATCAAACCAATAAGCATAAAAGATGTTTTCAGAAATACATTGAGCAACATTGATAAGAACTAATTATGAATATGGATTATCCAGAAATGTAATAGATCATTATTAAAATCATTATTATAATTTCACTTGAAATCTTTAATGATGTCAGGTCAGACATGTAGTCTGCTACTGGTAACATTGTAACCCAGTACAACCTGCCTCATGGACGGGTCGTCGGCGTCTAAACCGGCACCCCCACCAGTCTACACTGGTGAGGAGGGTGGCATGACACCCAGCAGGACTAAAAACAAAACCTGTCAAAGCGCGAATGAGCTTGGTTAAGCCACCGGGCATCATGCAAAAACACTTGTTTATTGTGATGTTAATCTGATTGTTGTACTTTAATTTTTAGTTTGAGATCTTGGGACGGACTGTGCAGCGGCAGCCAGAGGCGCCAACTCAAGCTCACAGTCTACCAAGACTCTCATGTGTTTTGTAGTTGTCATGTAGTTTTAAAGCGCTTAGAACAGAATTGGATAAGCGCTATATAAATAGGATTATATTATTATTATATGATAGTATGATACTATTCGTAGATACTATCATGTTTTGATAAATCTTCAGTTATGCGTATCTCTGCCGCTTGAATGGATATCATTTATGAATAATGTTGAATATTGTTTAATGATTGGTTCGAGGATTCATGACGCATTATCAGAATATATCTGATAACCTGATAACATGGATGGAACACGATTAATGTATTTGAATTTTAGAAAGAGGTAACTAACTATACATTAGCGAAACAACATGAAAATATCGAAAATGTTTTGAAAGATAATCGGGCTAGTTTGCATAGTTTGGTCGACATTGAATAGATATTGCAAGGAATGACAATTCTTATTTACAACAGAACAATGACTACCAAAGATCAAATACTAAAAGTGATGCTAGATGTTTCAAGCTGTTAACCATAAAGCAGGTGAGTTAATTTATTTTATAATAATAATACAACAACATTTTTGGATTGTACTGTAGACATGGAACCTTTCAACTCAGTTGTAATATGATAGTCATAATCACCGATGTCCGATATATTCATTCCAAGAAAACTTCAGATCGTTTTCTATAACACAAGTATAGTATTCCAGGGTCAGTTTTATTTATCAAATATAATAAACATGGTGCCTAAAAGTATGTCAACTATTTCACAACTATTCCCCTTAGGCTAGTGTCATTAATCATCCATAAAGTTATCAAAAGAGTAGGCGCTCTCTCGTTGGCCATTTCAATATTTTGAAACATAAAAATTAAACTCTTTGGATGAACTTGCTCATGAACCGACAACGAGGGAGGTTGCTTAAAAAGAAAAATAAACATTTATATTATTAAAATAAAAATTTAGATATTATTTATTATTTAAATAGTATTATTTATTATTTAGCCATAAACTTTACAAATGTAAATTACTTCATAACATAATTTTCGTTCGTACTGGCTAGGGACTACCAAGAATAGTGAAAACTAGTTTCGTTTAATAAAACCTCTTCAGTTCACATATATTTTAAAACAGTTTGCACCATTATGCTTTGCATGCGTCTGTTATTGTTTTGATTTACACCAAAATACTTCTAGCATCCGAATATATAATTTCCTAATTGAAAAGATGATATGGTAAACAGGCGCAATTGTTCAATTTCGCTGTGTATTATAAATTATACAAAAAAATATCCTTTAATATCTATTAATTTCTACTGCTACGCAACAGTTCCTCAGTTCCCTAACTTTGTGTTTTTTTGTTTTTTTTTTTGTTTGATTTATAGATTTTCTGAACTGAGATGATTTCGACTTCTCAAATACGCGCCTTTTTGAGGGCATGCATACAGTTAACAGGACAAGGTGTCCTAAAGCTCAACGCTACCCAGTGCTGCCACCTCCTTGAAGAATGTCTGCTTATGGCGCACTACGCTGATGACAAGTCCGCCATTATGGATATTTGTTATACGTCCAATAAGCTTGGTTTAATGTCCAAAGAAAAAGGTTTAGTGTCCGAGCAAAATGCATGTTTCATGGATGCTGTAAACTATCAAAAGTTATCCCTAAGGTTAGTCGATTATGGTCATAGTTAATCTTAAATACATCTATGATTGCAAATACTGCATTGTCCAAGAAATAGAACTTAGGGACTGTGAAATAATTATCAGGAGGGGAGCTGTAAAACCATAAGGGGGGGCATTACATAAAATTGATGGCAAGATAGGGGGCTCAAAGTAAAATTACCTAATTAACAGAGGGGGGGGCCTTAAGTTTCGTTCAAAATTTTCATAGTTTTCGATGTCTCTCAAAATGCTGGAAATCGCATTTCCAAGAGTTATTTCTTTCAATTTTTTTCAAAATTTTCTTGAGAGGACCAGACTCCCTTAATACACTCGCCTTTGGCGTTCCTTAGACCGTCAGATCCAAAATATATGTCGCGGTCCCTGACATGTGCATAAAAAGTCCACACTACGCGCCTGACTAATGGAAATCTAAAGTCAAAGACTCGTTGATTTGTGATTGAAATTGACCAGATATGATTTTTTTTTTAACTATTGATTTTTTCAATTTTGTCATATAAATTGAGGATGTAGTTTTCACATACGTTCACATACGTTTAGTATTTCTAATATAGCAGGGGGGGTAAGAGCTATTTTCTTGTGCTTCGGAGGGGTGGGGTTCTAACTAATTTCTTGCTTAAAGTGCACCTTCACGATTTTTTTTAGATCTTTGAAACAATTCTTATGAACCTTAAAATAATTTCTGTGTTGGTTTGGTGATTATTTTGTAAGCGGTTGGGATGGAATCGAAAAAACAAAAACAAATTTAAGTGTTCCAAATTATTTTGTCCGAGTGGGGGCTGGCGCGACTCTTGTGACGTCATCCCAGGCCATAAGTTCGCTCGCAAAAGACTAAATGCCTTGTAGAAGTCTATTTTTCTCACAAAAATCAATAAAACTGCTAAGATTGAATGTATCAAACCGTTTTATATTCACTTTCAGCAAATTCCTTGTCCTCGGTTCACATGAACTGCGGAGCAGGGGGGGCTGGGGGGCTACAGCACCCCCAATAATTTTGACCGACATTTTGAATTTTCTAAAATAAAGATTGTGTTAAAACTGAGGGGGAACAATTAAAATTGAAGCTCTTGATTTTTACGAATTCTTTGGGATTTTATTGATAATATCGCTGACCTTCGTGTGCGGTAAAAATGTCTTGGATAACGCATGACATTTCCGAGAGAAGGAGCCCAATAGTTGAGATTTCAAAAATTTCCGAACCCCCTAGTACCTCGTCGCCGCTAGCCCCCCCCCAAACAAATTCACGCTCCGCGGTCCCTGGTTCAGAGTACGAAATAATCATTTGAGGCACCTCGAAATTTTTACCTCGCGAAAGACACTGCACGGCAGTCTAAATTTCTCGAGAAAATGAAATATAAAACAACCACGATCACAGACATGAAAATATTCTTCCTTTGTACAGAAATGTCAAGCGCTGAGCTTGATCGGCGGTTTCAAAATCGGGGAAATGCGACGCCCAGCACTCATAATTTTGAACTGAAAACAACTAACACTTTACGCTTTGCTTCTGGATCGCTTGGAAAGCGTTTAATAATGTTTCAAGAACGAAAGAGTGTTCATTTCTGGATTCGTAGTCGTTTCATTTCATGAAATTAGAAAAGCGCTTGAAAGGAAGAATATTTTCAGTCATGTGTTTGCCTTATCGTACTTGTCTACTTACGAGAAGTTTAAACTGCCTCAAATGACTAATGGCTGTTTTGCGTATTTTGTGCCGAGTCCAAAAGAATTTAGATAGATAGATAGATAGATAGATAGATAGATAGATATGTTTAATCGTATCTCTTGCAGTATAGACTGAATTACAGATACGGGTCAGAAACGATAAATTACACACTTGACAAGTCTACATACATTCATATATGAGGAATAAATAATTCAATGTTCATCAGTCCAATTCTCAGTTCCTAAATGATATGTCCCGGGCATGCCTGTTCGTCACGAAATCCTTAAATCGGTTGGTGTTAGCCGA